AAAAAAAAAAAAAAAAAAAAAACCAGCAAATAGTAAAACACGTAAATAGAGTGACACAAAATCCAGTATCACCTCCCCCCAAACCCATGCGACTGCGGACTCCCATACGGCTGTGGATGCTGTGGACTCCCATACTGTGGACTCCCATACTGTGGACTCCCATACGAATCCGGACTCTCATACGCCTGTGGACTCCCATACGTCGTCTGCACTGTCCCATTCCCCGTCCCATTCCCATTACCCGTCCCATTCCCATTCCCAGCCCCGTTCTCATTCCCAACCCCCAGCTCATGCCCCCCATTAACATGCCCCGGATTAACATGCCCACCCCCATCCCCCCCATAATATCCATCATACGCCCCCTGCGCATCATACCCCTGCACATGCTGCACGGGATGATGCACATTAGGCGACCCCGGCTGACCTGCCAACTCAGCCGGCCCGCCGAACGGGTACGCCGACCCGGGCCCGTCGCGCGCAGGCATTTCCTGGTACTGGTACGGAGACCCAGGTGCTTCGACAATATGTCGCGCCCCCGGCCCGTTAGGGGGGTAGAGGTTAGGGTCGTAGGGTTTGTTGTTGCCGCCTTCTCCGGGGGAGGGGTAGTAGAGGCCGTTTTCGGGGTGTTTGGTATCGTTGTTGTTGATGTGGTTGTTGATCTCGGCAGAGTTGGCTGCGGCTGCGGCGAGGCTGTTTCGGCGGCGGCGGATCATGACCCATGCTGCGGCGACTACCAAGGCTACGGCGGCTACACCGCCCATGACGCCGCCGACGATGGGGCCGACGGGGGTGGATGAGCCGGAGTCCGGGGAATCGGTTATTAACGGGCTGTTGGTGGCCGTTGAGGATGGGGAGGAACCGTCTGTGGAGGAGGGGGTGGGTTTGGTGACGAGGTCGGCGAACAGGGACTTGACTTCGTCGGAGGACCAGTTGATTTTGGCGAGGGAGCTCGGGGATTGTTAGTTGGGGTTGACTAGGAGATATAATAGAGTAGACAGAAGGTGGGGAAGCGGGAGACATACCCGTTGCTATACCACTTCTTGAGATCGGCATTCCGCTCATACGCGGCCGCATTGGCGTCGTAGTCGTCCTTCCACTGAAGCGTCGTCATGTCGAAGAGCATCAGCCCCTGAGGCGCGGGGTCGGTTGAGGACCGCGAGTCGCCAGACCCGCCGATGCTGAGGACCTGGCGATTGCCTACGGCAAGGCATTTCTTCCCGGTGTTAGTTAACGCCAAGACCCGTTGTTAAGCGTATACGAAAAAGGAAAAGAAACGAAAAATAGAAACTGAGAAGACGTACAGCGCCAGATCTTTCCCCGCCCAGCGAATCAGGGACCCTCTGCCAGACAAACCCCGGGACACTCAAGATGTAGGCGTCGTTGTAGGTAAACCGATCCCGGCCATTGACCCCGCCGAACAGGAACCTTGCCGCGGTTAGTAAACCAAAGCCACAACGACACCACCACAAACGATCGCAAACCTACATATCAAACCCCCCATCCTTAGTTGAAAACCCCGCCGTACACGCCTGCCCGCGCGGCGTAGGCGGGATATCCCCCGTCGTGACCTGCGAATACACCCGTTTCGTCTCCGGATCAAAAAACGTAATATTCCGTAAATCCAACGGCGGCCCATCCGACTTATTCAGATCATTCCCCGGAATCGGAGCATACCCCCCAAACACCAACACCACTCCGTTGGCCCCAACCCCTGGCACATACACCGCGCTGCCCTGATTCAGCGTCCCCGTCCCAAACGGACTGAAATTAATCGTCCCGTTCTGCCAGATCTTGGTCTTCATATCAAACGCCGCCATCCCCGGCAGCGGATCCGCCGAGTAATGGTCCACCTGTGTCCAGGCATCTGCCACGCCGCTGATGACATACCCCGTGCTGCCCACCGTGACATAGGCGGCGTACTCGGTCTGCATTAGGCTGCTGAAGAGCGTCGGGTTCGCGGGGGTCTCCTTGCTCCATTCGCCGCCGCCCTTGCCGTCGGCGACGAACTTCCAGAGCTCGTTCTTGACCATGTTTTTGCCGCCCGGCCAGCGGCCGCCCCAGGAGTAGAAGGTGTTGGCTGAGGGGTCTGTCCAGAGGCCGACGTTGGCCTTGGCGGGGCCGGGTTTGCGGATGGACTGGAAGGTTACGTCGAGGTTTTTCCAGGACTTGGACATGTCGAGGGAGAGCGTGGAGTTGACTGTGAGCCCGGACGTTTAGGTTTTGATCTAACACTCTTCCTCTTCGGTGACATTGTACTCACCAGCATAGGTCCCACTCCCTGTGCCGTTAGCCAGCTGGTCGATTTCCCCGCCGTCAATGTACACATAATCCCCCAGCAACGTCGCCGTCGCCCACACACGGCGCTGAAAATTATCTACCGTTGGGACATCGGTCAGCGCCGCGGCCAGCGTACACCCGAGCCCCAGCATGAGGGGCGCGCCGGCGAATAGCCTCATTGTTGGTTATGTATTGACTGCCCTGGCGGGGCAGTCGGTTTGCCGGCAGGTGGGGAATATTGGGTTCGGTTATCGGGGCATTGATGAATCCGTTCGCGATTGTAAAACTGTTGTTGACTTTCGATGTCGTGGGAACAGGGGTTTTCCCTTCTCGCGCGAGGGTACTCCCGCTCGTGGGTCAAAAACCCAAGGGGCGATGATGAGGTTGAGGGTTGTTGAAATCGTGGAATCGAATAGAGAGATTGGTTGATTGATTCGGGCCGTCCGGGAGTCTCAGTGGGTGTCACAGCAGAGTCACCAAGAGATCAGTTCATGTTTCGTTAGCGTAGCGGAACACAGAGGGAAAGGGCGAAGGTGTCAAGCCCGGAGTTACAGCGGAAAGAAGCTTCGCAGTTGGTTTCCCACCGGCAACGAAGTTTCATGAACACAGCGAACCGAAAAAAGAGTGAAAGGAAGAGAGAGCGTGTTTTCCATCCATCCATCCAATTTCCGCGCCAGACCCAGTGCAGCGTCCGAACCTGCGCAGCGTTGCATCGTGGGATCGCCCCTTGTCGCGGCCGTCGCGGCTGCCTCAGCCACGCCGCGTCTATTTCCCGGGGGTTTAACTGGCTCGGCACGGCCGTCAAGAAGCTGTCAGCATGGGTGTGGGGTCCAAACCCTTTGGAAGGATTCAAGGTGGATGTGTGCCGGCGAATGCGGTTCACGATGATTCAAAATTACACGAGCAGACGGGAAACTCACCGAGTCATTGAGAAACAGGGTTGGTGCATTTGCCGCTGGTGGTGTCGGGGCAACGCCAGACAATCTGCCACGGACCAAATCAGTGAAGGCATGATTCTCAAACGATGTGGTTCCACAGGAGAGTAGATTTACCTTCAGCTGTCGGCAGTGCAACGACGGCTGAGCGGATGGATTTTCCATCTCGCGACCGGACGACGCCCGCAGAGAGGGTGTGTATTCCATTTTGAATGTTCTGAATGCAGGCGATGTGGAAATTGTTGTGAAGGGAGAGTGGTGAAAAATGGGTTGGTAGGAGGAAAAACAAAACCTTGAGTGGCGCGAGGGCGACGTGGGTTTAAATAGTACGAAAAAAAATTCAAATTCTACAGTGCGCACGAAGGTGTAAACAGATGAACCGAGTGGTTGAGTCTGTGCGCAGAACAACAAATTGGAACCTCCATGATCAAGGGGAAGGTACTGAAAGACACCCACACACACAACCGTAAGTCCCGTGACTTGGCGATGGTCTTGTGATGTCGGCCTGTTCAACAAGGTTATTCATTGAACGCGTGGTAGCTGGTATTAGCTGGCCATCTTGGTGCAGCTGGTGCGGAGCATCAAGGGGGTACACTTGGTACAGCATTGACTGTACAAGGCCGCGGCCGAGGCAGTCGAGGTGATCCTGCGGGCTGCTTATGAAGCTAGTCTAGACAGTCAGCTGTACCCTCCAGTACTATACATGGTACTGACTGACCATATCATAATCATCTTCGACTACGATGGTGTCAGCAAACAATGAAGGAGTGAATGACGAACCCGAGGAACCACCAACAGCAGTCCTCAACCCCCATCGGGTCCGCAACCCTCACCACAAAGCAGTATCATATCACAGATAACACATCTCATCAGCAAAAACCCTTCATCAATTTCATCAAACTCCCTTTGCTAACGGGGACACCAACAATCCAGAGGTAAGCAACAGGTTGTTCCCAGAAGATAGATAGATATACACCGCTATCACCACCGCTTTCTTATTCTTCTTCCCTCTCCCCCAACAGTCCTCATTCACATAAAGCCAAAAGCCAAAAGTTTAGTTAGAGCCAAAGCCGACCTGGGGGAGAAGCCGTAGAATCCATCCCCGAAACATTTGTCCGCATCTGATCGTCACACACTGCAAGGAAGGAGACACAGAGAGAGGGAGAAAAAGAGAGAGAAAAGAAGAAAAGGAACATAAACGGTGGGAGCAGAAAATCGCCCGTCCACCCGAGAGACGAGGAAGAACACGAAAAAAAGGGAAAATCGGACCATCAAGAGTTGAGGTAAAAAATTTAACTTTGTGGGAAAAAACAACAACAAAAAGCCAAAGCGACCAGGGATATAATACGTAGGTAGGTAGCTATTCCGCTTCCCCTTTCCCTTTCCTTTCCTTCCATTCCATTTCCTTCCCGAAATACTGCGATACCCCGCCGTTCCAACCGGCCGACCGATTGACCGTCCCAAAAAGGCAAAAAGCAAAAAAGAAGTGAGCAGCTCCTTGAGTGATAGCCAAATCCGAGATACCTATTCCCCGCTGTTACCGGCCTGGGTTTCCCATCCCATTCCATCATCCATCATCATAATCGATTGATTCCTTGTTGCTTGTTGTTGCCATGGATATTGTAATTCATTGTTATCGTACGTCTTTTTTGTGTGCGTGTTTGGGTCGCCTGAGTATTGTTGTGTATACCATACCGTCCTTGGGATGGGGATTATGATGTTGAAAGTTTGACAAGGACTGAAGGAGAAAAGGATGTTGAGGAAAAAAAAGAATACCAAGTCCCGCTGACCGATGCAAAGAGGTAAAAAAAGGCAATAGAGTAGAGGAAAAAAAGGAGAACGGCGACTCCAGGACACCAGTTTATCATCGTCATACGGCACCGCCGTGAACCCAAGCTGCTTTGCCGTTTTACTCCGACGCATCATCACCCAACGACGCAGCCAGCGACGCCGTCGCAACTTTTGAATCCAAGTCGACCCGGATCCTGAGCTCCCGCATGCACACCTTGCGTATCTCCTGCCTGTCCGGATCGTCCGACTCGTGTAGTGCGATCTCCTTTATCAACTCATGCGGCATGCGCACCTTATCCCCGTCTAGTATCATCCTCGCCGTCTGCAGCAGGCTGATAGCCGAATCAGGCAGTTGTGGCGCGTCCCAAACACGGCGGATGAGCGAGACAAAAGGCGGGCAAGGGCAGTCCTCGCCACCATTGGGGTCGGCGCCGCGGTCGAGCAGGAGCTTGAGGATGGCCGAGTTGGGGTTTTGCGCCGCACGGTGGATATAGCTGAAGCGGGTGCGCGGCGGGATATTGGGTAGGGCGTAGCGCCCGACGATGTCCTGGATGATGGAGACGCGGTCGTCGCGGATGGCGAGGTCAAAGGCAGTCAGGTAGTGCCGCTTGACGAAGCGCCACTCGTCCGGATCTTCCTCGTCAGAATAGAGCTCTTGGAGCAGCTCGTCTGGGGGGGTCAGGAACGGGTCGGCAACCTCTTTCATGAGGGCTACCGCGATGTTGAACTGGTTCTCGCGCACCGCAATGGACAACGGGGTGCGGAGCTCTCGGTCAAACACGTCGACTTCGGCACCACGCTCCAACAAGGCTTGCACGACCTCCAGATTGCCCCAGGGGCAAGCTAGATGCAAGTATGTCTGATCGCCGTGGAAGCGCTGTTCGCTGACGGCGACGCCGCGCTCCAAAACGGCGAGGCTCAGGTCACGGTTCTGCTGCATGATGGTCTTGAGCAGCAGAACCTCGTTGGTGAAGACGGGCCGCCCGAATTCCATCATGCAGTTGAACGTCTCGATCTGGTTCCATGGGTCGCTTTGCTCGATGATGCGGCAGATATATTCCTTCACGTCGGCATCGGTGACTTGATACACCCGGTCCGCGAAGCTGAGTAGCAGCTTGAGTGCCTTGTGGTTCCCGCATGAAGCACAGCTCTTCAGGGCCTCCTTCAGCTTGCTATGTGTCAGGTTTGTCTTATCGGCCACCGTCAGCATTGCTTCCAGCACATCGTCCTCCGCCCACCGGATATGCTTAATAGCGGTGTCGAGGGGACTACTGTTAGGCTCCTCCTCAATGTCCATGCGCGCACCGTGGCGGAGCATAATCGAAGCAATTTCCGGCACTTCCCCGCGGTGGTCAACTCGGACGGTCACGGCGTAGCATAATGGTGTCCTCCCGTTGCGGTCCTGTGCGTTGATCTCAGCGCCGCATTGGACGAGAGCGGCGACAGCGCGGGGCTCGGCCAGCTCGCAAGCCAGCATCAGCGGAGTTACGCCGCGGTGACCGCGCTTGTCAAATTTGGCGTTGACATCAGCACCGCCCTCAACCAGAGCCTTGATCAGGGTAACCCGGTTGCCCTCAAACTCGTCGTGCTTAACCGGCGCATCGTCCATGTCGAAAAACTCGGATCGCTGGAGCATGCAGTAGTATAGCGGACGGTAGTCGCGGAAGTTGGGAATGTGACGATGAGGATCCGGGTTGGCGCCAATGTTGACCAGACGGTGGGCGACAGCGTAGTTGCCCCGATAGCACGCATTTAATAGCGGCGTATGGCCCTCATTATTGTGAGCTTCAAGGTCCGCGCCAAGCGCGAGCAGTTTCGTGATGGTGTCTCGGATGTCCGCCGAGTCGCGCGCGCTCCAAATCTCCGAGACGTAGTGCAAGGCCGTGTTGCCCCACTCATCGCGCTGGTTGACATCCAGGTTGAGGTCGCTGAGCGCAAGGAGTTTGATGACGGGAATCAGACCGTGGGCGGCCGCCGAGTGAAGAGCGGTATGCTTGTGGGTAGTGGCCTCGTCGAGCTCAAGCGAAGCCCCGCGATGGAGCAGCAGCTCGGCCACAATGCGTTCCTGACTGCACATGGCGGTGTGCAGGGCGCGCCAGCGTGGCCATTCTGAGAGGCGGCGCGTGGGGTGTCGGCTGGATTTGAGAGACTGGCATTCGCAAACGCGGTAGGAGGGCGCATCGATATCGGCGCCGTTGTCGAGCAGCCATTCCACAATGTCCCGATGACCGTTCTTGGCCGCGAGGTGGAGCGGGGTGCACGAGGGCTGCAGGCGTGGGTCGATGACGGGTTCCTCAAACTCCGGGTCCGCATCGGCGTTTGCGTCGGTCTCATTTTCGGTGTCGTTCGTGTCGGGCTCGCCCGCTTTCCGGGGGATTGCCCCGGGTGTGTTCAAATCGGCGCCTGCTGCGAGCGCGTGCTTGAGGGTGCCCAACTGGCCGTTTTCGGCGCCCCAGAAGAGCGACGAGGCAGACGCTAGCTTTACATTATCGCGATATAAGACGGGATTAATGATAGAAAAAAACCATCGATTCGCGCGGCCAAAGGCGAGGCGGTCGGGCAGCTCGAGCAGTTTGTCGATGAGGAGGACGATTTCGGGCGGGAGTCCCAGTACGGGCGCGGTCAATGCCTTCTTTCCTTTTCCTTTGCAGGCCTTGCCATCGGCTTTTTTTGTTTTCGCCTTGGCCGCCGGCTTCTTGAGCGCGCCTGTCTTTCTGTGTGATGCCATCCGGATCGAGAGGGAGGGGAGAGAGACCTGGAAGCGGATAGTTGATGTCGTTAACAGGTGGGCACGAGTTAGGTCGGGCGTTCTGGATTTGGAAGAGGAGCGGTCGAAGTTAGGCTGGGATTATAGCAGAAGCGCTAGGGGACAGGCGGGAAGCCGCGGGGCGTGAGGGTGGGGCAGCGGGTGGTGGGCGATGCTACTTGTGGCCAATCAACGGCTGGCCTCAGGCGGCCAAGAGCTGCACCCAGCCTCGTCGGCCAGGCGCCCTCCCGGTGGGGGCACTGGAGGACTGGGCTGCCGGGTGGCCGCTGTGGGGGGAAAACCGCTTGAGTCGACGATCCATTGACGTTTTTTGCCTTGGGTCCATCCACGGCCGCACGACAACCTCGAAGAATCTAGTGTACGGAGTATACTACCTACTTCGTACCCTAGGAGGGAATAAAGCCTCGTTTGAGAGGCAGCGCATCTTTGGGCGACGAGACCCTCTGTGCCTCCCACAAGTTGACCCCGACGTGAGGTGCCCGTTCTCTTCCGGGAGTTTGTCATGGACTCCGTGCTGGCTCGCTCGCTCTCTTTGTCACAGAATGCCGGTCATGGCGAATTATCACCTATCGTTGGGTCGGCGATCTTGAGCATCGACTCTTCCAGGTTCTCGTTTTCCAACTTTTGTTCAGATTCTTTGCCGCTTTCCCCGCAGGCCACCCTGCCCGGCCATTAAAACGCCGCAATTGTGCATAATACGGCCCCTTTCCCAGGCCCGAACCCGGAGGAGCGGTTGCCCGCCGCTGGCTTCTCATCCGTGGTCTCCTTGCCACGGGCCTGGTTACTGTGCCACTCGGGAAGAGGGCAACATCGGACAAAAGATTTTACCATGTCGAGCCCGAAGCATGTCATGCTGTGCCAGTTAAGCCGAGTTCTCCAAGTCCGAGGATGGAACATTAAGCAACATTACTCAATCGGACACATTTTACACTCCTCAACTCCTGGTCCTCGGTGCGGATGAAGACCACTTGACAAAGTTGACAGCGACTGGCTGCTGTTTCTTTCCCGTGACTGCAAGCCCCACTCCTGGAGCCTGGAATTCGTCGATCTTGATTGTCCTGATCTGGTTTGGAGCCACGCGGTTCCATCGACAGCGCATCGAACACCGCAGTAAAACACCGAGTTCCCGGATGACTCCACCGGCGTTCAACTGAGGACATTCAACGAGACTTGAGGACCAAAGGCTTCGGCGCAAGAACGGTTGTCAACGTGAGCGTTTGGCGGAGTACGCGGACTTGCGGAGTCAGCCGTTGATTCTTCAGCCCACTGCCGCCGACCCCACTCCAACTGACGTCAAGTCGCCAAGCCCAACTCCTCCCGTTGACTTCGAGTTCTGCACCCTTCGACGGGCGCCCTGAAACAGGTTGTAACCTCTTTGTCTCTCTCCGAGGTTAAGGGTTGCAGCAGATGGAGGTCGGGTATCGAGACATGTCTCAATCTTACAGGAAGTCCAGGCTAGCGGCAGCGAACCTGGCACCACACACGACGCAGGAGGTGACCGAATTTGAGGAGGTCGTCATGAAAAATGAACAGACCCGCTCAAGTCTTGAAGAAAAACAATGCTTGAAAATAAAGGCCAAAAAACGAAAAAAAATAAAAAAAGATAAAAAATAATAATAAACCATTCAACGCCCCTCGCCTATCTACCCTGGCAATTTCCAGAGCAGAGAAGCATCACACGCCCTCGACAAACCTATGCCGTAACGCTCGAGAACCCACGTGCCGTCCATTTCTGCACTTTCCCGGCTGGTATCGGGGGTAACACTACATCTTGCCGAGACGCTTAACCCCAGACCTCCACTGGACAAATCTGGCAAGAACTAGAATTGTAGAATGCATCTCTGGTGAGGGGTCCCTCGCTTGTCAGACGTCGAGGCAGCTAGCCGTGCTTGCGAGCTCGCTTTGGGAGAAGGCGGCGCTGGGCAGATGGTACTCGGCAAACGCCACCCTAATTTCGAAGTCTCAACCTCGGTTTTGTCATGAATGGTCTTGAAGTTGGACTTGGTGCATGTACTGCCGACATGTGCACCCACGCCGTGGGCTTTGTATGGTTAAGGGGAGGCTGGTGGTAACGATGGGAAGCCTTGCGCTGTAGATTTCGAAGTTTGCGGACAACAGCATAAAGATCTAGCAATTTCCCGACTTCGGCCGAAGAGGCTCGAATGCTTGGGTCATGTAGATATGAAATTTAGCCGAGTCTCATGGTATGGTGATATTCATCGTCAAAATAGTCACAACACGCCACCTCACAGTAAGTAGTCCAACACACATATCCCGTTCTGTGTTTTGTTCCCGGCCGAGGCCAAACCACATTCATTATCTCCTATTTTGTCACCCCAAGCAGCGTCCTATTATGTTTTTCTTTCCTACCACTTCGCCTCCTTAGTCTCAAGGAAACCCTTAAGAATCCCAACAATCTTGTCGAGAGCCTTGAGGTACAGGTCCAGCTCCTCGTGCACTTTAGCCTCGTCTGTGCCGAGCTTGCCGTAGAAGTCCTTGCGGTACGGGCACGCGCCCATGGCGGCGCTGAAGATGGGCTTGATGATGAAGCTATGGTGTGGCTTGAGCGTCTTGCCGTAGGCGTCGCGGAAGGAGTCGGCCAGCTCGTGTTTGTGGTTGGCGAGGTTCTGGCTGAGGGCGATGCACGTGAACTCGAGGCCGCTAAGGGGAAGCGAAAGGGTTAGCGTGGTGTGTGATTTGCGCCTCTCCAAGGCAATGGGATCTTCCGGTTGAAGTTTTGAAGGTTGGGGGTGGAGGGCAACTCGCCGGACAAGCCAGAGCAGGCCTTCGGTGGCGGTGTGGGACTTGGACTTAAGCTCGTTGCGGACGAGGTCTTGGAGGTTCTCGGACTCGAGGGGGGCAGCCAGCTGCCTCTTCCTCACTTTCTATATGAACGCAAGGTTAGCAAGCTATCCTTGGGAATCTGGCGGGGGCGTATGGGGTCTCGTGAAACTGAGGATTGGACAGACGATTGGGAAAACCAACCTCAATGTTGCCAAGCAAGTCCTTCTTCACAGGAGAGAAAGCGACCGAGCCGAGGAGGTCTTGGGGAAACCGAGTTAGCAAAATTATTCCGGGTCCCTAAATCCCTACAAACCGGGCAGTGTTTACCAAACATGGTAGTCAGCGACTCGGAAGCCTCGAGGAACTCCGTAGTCGCGATGGCATTGTCTTTCTCGGCATCAATTGGGACCCGCGTGAAGGACCCCTTGAAGGTGTCGAGGTAAGTGCCGTCCTCAGGAACAACCGCAATAGCCGCCATGGTGTCTGAGTATTAAGGAAGAAGAGGAAGATAGCAAAGAAATGTTGGTGTTGAGAGCGAAGGAGAAGCTTTGTTTGGGCTGCGGTGAAGTTCAAATAGGAGGCGGTCAGCTCCGTTGGAGACGTCTCGAAACCCAAGCCCAGCCCACCAACGTGGGCTCCGCCGTTAGGTGGCTACCCCGCCCCCGCAGTCCTGGCACCATCGCCGGCATGTACATGCCACTTTGGGTATCTTATATTTTGCAGACTATAGATTGAGATTACGTTTCATGGGGGGATTGTGTCAATTCCAGGGTCATATAAACCCTATATATCTAACATATTAGAAAGAGGTATCCTTTCTGTGTTTGTTGTTCACTTTGCTCGAGAGGGGAGTAAAAGCGGATTTCTAGGGTCCTCCCCGCCGTGCCCAGCTGTCAAGGGGTAAAGCCAGGTGGCTGGCCCAAGCTTCCTGCTCCACATCGCAGCAACCCCTGTCCTGATCTGGACCATCTCGTGTGCACCTCAGATCAATCAATCGACTTGCAGCGCGAGCATGGACATTTTGATATTTCTCACTTCGGGGCTCCCACATTGGGGAGCTCTATGCCCATTGGCTCCCGAACGACGGGGAAGCCGCCGAGTAGCATAGCCGCAGCATGCCGCTATTTCCGGCAGCCGCAACGGCAAAAAAAGGCCAACCCCGAGTTTACGGGCCGCTCAGCCCAGCTGAACACCCGATCGCGAGCCGGATGCTGTGACGTCATATCTCGTTTTGACTTGCGACGACATCCTTGTTGTGCTGCCAACTTAACGGTCGCACCGCCCTTCAAAAGATGATATTTCCTCGTAAAACCTTTGCTGCTGGAAGTTTGAAAACCGCAAGTCGATTGATTATACTTATTGCGATGAGCCAATCGCTAGTAAGTGCAGACTTTGGTGGCTAAACATACACACCTAAAACACTCGAATTCCAAAATACACTCGACCAGCCACTTGCGGGTCGTCAAATTCCTTTTCTGAACTCTCGTCACGCCAATCACAAATCCTAGAAAAATGACAGGCGCAAAGGCTGAGGGGGCTAGTCAGGGCCCTGGCATCGGGGAAAAGATCAAGCTCCCCTTTCGAGAGCTCAAGGAGAAGCTAAATCTGCACGAGGCCAAAGTGCAATTAATCCACAAAAAGTGAGATCCCCAAACGGTCAATTGTGTGGATTGAAGACTGACAGTGCATCCCAGGCACACGATCGGCAAGTTCGCCAACTTGGTAAGATCACCATGTCCCTTGCATGACCCCTAGCATCCCCAGAGATGATCATGGCACAGTAGACGTTCGGGTCCACTGGCACTTACTGACACTTGTTGACTAGTTCAACCCTGAGCATCGCCATGACGAGGAACACGAGAAGGCATGTGATGAGAAACGCACCAAGATCGCTGAGTCGCACCGCTTTCAGTCATATTTCCCTGAGCGAGATGGGAACATGATCAAGTGGTATGTCGACGGCCGGGATTACTTCTGGGTATGTACATGTAGCCATCGTCACCACCAAGTTGATCCCCCACATAGCGTTACTAACCTAACACCCCTTGACAGGCAGTATCAGAAGCCCTCGAACAAGCCGAGGAAACCATCTACATCGCCGACTGGTGGTTATCCCCCGAGCTCTTCCTCCGTCGCCCGCCCTACTACAACCAAGAATGGCGACTCGACCAAGTCCTAAAACGCCGAGCCGAAGCCGGCGTCAAGATCTACATCATCGTCTACCGCGAAGTCGAGGCCGCCCTGACCTGCAACTCGGAGCACACCAAGCACGCCCTACAAGCGCTCTGCCCCGAAGGCACCCCTGGATACGGCAACATCACCGTCATGCGCCACCCGGACCACAACGTCTTCGAAAACGCCGCCGACATGACCTTCTACTGGGCCCACCACGAGAAGTTCATCGTCATCGATTATGAGATGGCCTTTATTGGCGGACTGGACCTCTGCTTTGGCCGCTGGGACGACAATCAACATGCGCTCTCCGACATGCACCCGGAGGGCGTGACCAACGAGGTGTGGCCGGGCCAGGACTTCAATAACAACCGCGTGCTGGATTTCCAGAACGTCGACGACTGGAAGGCGAACGAGCTGAGCAAGGAAGAGGCCGGCCGCATGCCCTGGCACGATGTGGCGATGGGGGTGATCGGGCCGTGCGTGTATGATATCGCCGAGCACTTTGTGCTCCGGTGGAACTTCGTCAAGCGCGACAAGTACAAGCGGGATGAGCGGTTCGAGTGGATCGAACTGCAGGGCCGCCAGAAGACGGACGAGGATCTCGTCGGTGTGCAACGGCCCAAGCACCCCGTGGGAGGGTACACACTTCACCCGCTAAGCCCGCTGGATTCCAAGCCGATTGCCGACCGGGGTAGTGTCCACGCACAGATTGTGCGGTCCAGCGCCGACTGGTCCAGCGGCATTCTCACTGACCACTCGATTCAGAATGCGTACAGCGAGATTATCCGCAACGCGCAACACTACGTTTACATCGAGAACCAATTCTTCATCACGGCCACGGGTGATCAACAGCCGCCGATCCGGAACACCATCGGCCGCGCTATGGTTGATGCCGTGCTCCGGGCGGCCAAGGAAGACCGTAAGTTCCGCATCATCGTGCTTATCCCCGCGATCCCTGGGTTTGCGGGGGATCTGCGTGACGACGCGGCCATTGGGACCCGCGCGATCATGGACTACCAGTACAAGTCGATCTGCCGGGGCGAGCACAGCATTTTCGGGCAGATTCGGAAGGAAGGGGTTGACCCGACCAAGTACATCTTTTTCTTCAACCTGCGGAGCTACGACCGGTTGAACAAGACGTCGACCGTCAAGAAGAAGGAGGAGGAAGCGGGCGTTAAGTACCGCGACGTGCAACGGGCGCACGCCGAGGAGGTCATGGGCGATGGTGGGCCGAGCTCGCAGCACAATGGGCAGAAGGAGGAGGAGACAAAACCGAGCGGGAAACCGGTTCGCGGTGCTCACGGAGAGCTACAGGAGAACTTGGACGACGAGCATCGCCCGGATAGTGAGCTGCGTGAGATGGATGCGCGACGCAAGTTTGAAGCTGCGGACGGCGATGGCGACAACCGGGCTGACTCGGTAGCTACCGTCGCGCACCACGCCATGGCCGACCAGACCCCGCTGGCCGAGATCCCCTGGGATGGCGAGGACGAAGACGAAGTCAACCACTGGATCCAGGAGGAGCTGTACATCCACGGCAAGCTGCTGCTTGTTGACGACCGCATCGCCGTTTGCGGCTCGAGTAACCTTAACGACCGCAGCCAGCTGGGCTACCACGATAGCGAACTCAGTATTGTCATGGAGGACACACGGCGGTTCCCCAGCACCATGGATGGGAAGCCGTTTGAGGCTGGGTGGCATGCGGCCACGCTGCGGCGGTATTTGTGGCGTGAACACTTGGGTTTGCTGCCGCCGCAGTCGCTGGATGCGGGCGATGACCCGAATGCTCAGCCACCGGGGGATGGCTCGCCGAATGATGTGCGGGATAAGGATGAGAAATCGTGGAAGTTTGTGGAGGACCCGCTGGGCGATGAATTGTGGGATATGTGGACGGGTCGGGCGGATAAGAATACTGAGGTGTTCCGGCAGCTGTTCCATGCTGACCCTGATGATCACGGTAAGCCTTTCTCTTCTTTTATTCTTCACCTCCCAACTCTTTTGTTGTATCAACCAGTATTGACTACTTGTCTCTCCAGTCAAAACATTCGACGACTACAACAACTTCATGCCTGCCAAGGGCGTCAAGCCGGGTCACATCTTTGACCGCATGATTCCACCGCAGGAAGTGCGCCAGAAGCTGGAGAAGATCAAGGGCCACCTGGTGTGGATGCCGCTGGATTTTCTCAAAGATGCGGAGATGGCTGAAAAGGGGCTGCAGGTGAATCAGTGGACAGAGAGTGTGTACACGTAGGGGAACAAATCGGTGTATAGGTGCGACACGGATACCTTGGGTTGTTTACATGGATGGACTGGCTCTGTGATGTTTCTAGGTTGGCGTTGGTGGGGATCTAAACTTGTCAATATTGTTGAGTTGTAACTTGGTACTACCTGAACCGGAAAAACTTCCAAGTTAGACTCCTGTGAAAATTCTGATTTCGGACTTCTTTGTGTGTAGAGACGGGTCGTTGTTCTTTGTGTGTGTGCTGGTCTCTTTGAAGAAGCTTGGGAAATATGGTACGATCGCCCTATGGTTAAAACCGCTCTTTCCAAAATGCCTCTTTCCAAAGTCATTCTAGCTATTGAGCAGAAGATTCCTAATGCCGTATCGGTTCAATCACTCATTCGAAATGTGACCGCACAGATACGACGTATCAGCCGGAATTGGGCCGGCACAATCTCGACCGACCGTATTGCGCCCGGCCCCGAAGTCTACTCACATCATTTAGAGTTCTCGGCGACGGTCGCACGCTCAGAGTTGACCGGAGGGTTATCGGGAATCTATCTCGAGAGACAGCACGACGGACAAAGCAAGAAATCGTGCATTCGTGGGGTCATATGCGTGTGTCTGGTGCTGGAAACCGAAACGCAGGTTACGGGGACTTGGGGCATCTTTACTTCGTGTGGCAATCACCTCAAAATCAGATCGGTCGTTCCTGCCACCAACTCGATTCAGCGCAAACTAAGTGAACCCATGGCTACTCCTGCCTAACGCCGGTTGTCATGCCCCCTCGGACGCCCCGAAAAAACAAATCCCACCCAGCGCGAACCGATCAAAAGCATTTTTACCTCCGCCCCTGCCGTCCCCAATCGTGAATGAAAGACCGGCACCCCCCGATACCCCGCAAAACCTTACTCCTCCTCCTGCTTCACGTCGACGCTGCCCTGGCAACCTCCGTCCTAGCGACGGCCGCCTTCCTCCTCCTGCTGCCGTTGTTGTTCCTGCTCTGGCAGCAGCAGCTGCTGCTGCTCCTCGAGGTTCTGCTGGCGCTCTTCCTCGATGGCCAGCTGCCGGGCATGGTCCAGCTCATACTGGCGTTGAGCGGCCCGGTCCTCCAGATACGGCTCGGAGATCTCAGAGAAGAGGCGGGCCGCCTCCCGGAGCCTGGTCAGCGTGTTGTCACGCTCGGCGAGTTGGGCGCGGAGTTGCTCGATCTCGGCCTCGTACTCGTCGAGCTGGGTGCGTAGTTCGTGGAGCTCGATGAGGTGATCCGCTTGATGCTCCTGAACTTGCTGCTGGACTTGTTGCTGGACCTGCTGGCGAATGTGCCTTCTGATGTTGGCGGCTTCGCGTTGGACTTGGGCCTGTGATTGTTAACTTGCTGCTGAGTGTGATGATGATGATGAGGAGGATGATGAAGGGGATGGTGATGACTGTGATCGGGATCGCGAACGAGACGAGGAGCCTGCGAAGCGAGGGACCCAATCGAGACGCGGGATTCAAACGAGGCGAGGAATCTCGACGCCACGAGGAACCCCGACAAGACGAGGAATTCGAACGAGTCGAGGAACCAGAACTGGATGACCGAAGTGAGTGGGATGGGGAGCGAGAACGTACATTTGGGCGCGGACGCGGCACCTGGGCCAATAGGGCCTCGGTCAGTCTGGCGATTTGCTCGACCAGCTGGGTGTTCCGACGGTCCTGATCGAGGTTCAGTGCCTCGACCCTATCGGCCAGGTGATTGAGTTGGTTGAGGATGTTGGCAGCCATTTTCTCGTTGGCTTGGTTGTGAGGACTTTTAAGGTTGACGATTTTTGCTTCGAGGTGTTGTATTTGGTGTTTGTGTTTTTGGGAAACGGTGGTGGGAAGTTTCTGGAGCTGGGTTGAAATAGGGTTTGAAAAATTGCCTGGATTTGCTCCGCGAGGATGGCTAGGGCTTGGTGCCGGATCCATTCTCGAATTTGCTCCCGGCCTGGCTCATCCTCGGCCGGATCAGATAAATGGCTGGCTCTTTGTGTGAGCCGCGCGGCTGGCGCCCGGGGAAGGTTGTCGTCGAGACCCGTGGCGAGTATCACAGCCCCGCCGGGGCGAGCAATATCTCAGCCCAGGCTGCTTGTGTTGCGGTTGCGGAACGGGAGACGGGGCGGGCTCGCGAAATCGTTCAAGGAAGAGCCCGCGCCGCGTCGTGATGGTGTAGGAGCAAGAGATCGCATCTTGCGTAGAGGCCCGCCGCCAGCCTCACTCTCGTCCCCCGTGTAGTGGTTGATATCATCGGTGTTTGCTGCCCCTGAAACTCGAATATCAAAATTGGGAGTAACTGGCTGGCCCACCGGCACTCCGTATCTTCTACAATAAAGCCCCGGGACCACGAAGCACAACGTTTCGTCAATCTTCCTCAGCTCATCCTCGAGGACTGGCAATCCTTTGTACTCCGACTTGTTCAGATATCTGCCTCGCCACGCTTCATTGTTCAGCTCAACTCAATCCCAGGAAGCCGACGTTGTAGCCGCCCCTCAAGATGCCACCCAAAAGGTCCGCCTCACAAAAGCAGTTTACAACCAACCCGAAAAGGCCAAAACTGCTGTAAGAGGAACATACTGGATAGGATATGGGTCGTGGGTGACGGAAATCCTTGGCATCCTCCTGGTCTGATGACTGTTCATCCACTTCGCAATCTCAACGGCTAAAGTAATCGTAGTTCTGATGAGCACCTGGTTGGTGCTGTAGTTGCGGTTTTTCCCCAATCAGGCCAGGCCAGGCAGGATGTCGATCCCGTCAAAATCGGCCACGTTGTGGTCTCTACAGAAGCCCTCCATCGAGCCCCCCTTATTGGTCTCGATGCTGTACTTTTGGTCCCCCCGATCTCAACAAAGAACTCCAACACCGTGACAAACTCGACCAACCCCCCGTATTTATGTCCGCTCTCACGAGTGGATACCCCGCCGCATCGGTATGTCTCGCAGCGTCGGTTGTCCCGCTGCGCCGGCCCGACCCGCCGCAGGCCTTTGTCTTTCCCTTGTCTCCCCAGGAGGCCTGTTCTGACTCTTCACGCATTACAGGGCGAGATCGAGGGTGTTGTCGAAGCTCCAATTGACGAACTTGCCCATGAACCGTTATGTCCGCGTCGTGTCGTGAATCCTCACCGGGCCGGCCTGTGTCTGAGCAGGCCACACTGGTTAGGGTGGCGGCATCGGGGCTGCCACATGGGCGACAGGTTCTGGGACAATCCCGCTTAATCGGGCATTACCAGTGATGATGACCTCGGGGTCGGTTGACGTGCCTTGATCAGACATGGTGATTGCGATTGAGGTGAGGATTGATGTTGTCTTGGTGAGAAACGTGAAGATTTTGGATGTCTGATAAAGAAAATACTCCGGGCGGAATAGGACATGCAAGATAGGGAGTGTGACTTTGGTGACGGTGAAGTGCCAAGGAGGGTGTTGTACAGGCTGTGGAAAAGTCAAGGTTCGTGGACCAAGGATGGGGAAAGGAAACCCCTCCCCTCTTGTTACACCCTTTAGATGCGTACACATTATACATGTGTACATATCACACTCGCATCTTTTCGAAGTTTCTCGGCACAAACCGGTGCAAAGTCGACGGAGGTTGGGCGGGTACGACTTCAAGTTCACCAGGTTGTTGAGCATCACCATCATGTTGTTAGCAACCACAGCCGGGATGTTGATATTACCAGTGCTGCTAGCCCACGGTCATAAACCTGGCTTTCATTCTTCCTCATTGTTTCGACCCTTCTCCCTTCTTTCTCAGCTGATATCGTTTGTCCTTCAAGCCTTTCACGTTCTTTGACTGACTTCACAGAGCAACCAACCTCTTGTCTTCGCTGTTACTATCTACCGATATTCCCGTTGGCATTCATGTTGATAAGGTCATAAAATGCCTGTTCGTAAAGAGTTTGAGTCACACACGCCGCCCTTTACAATCCGAAACGGCCCGCAAACTGTCTATATTGGACCGGTCGACCGAATCACTTTCATGTCCGAGATGGCATGCTAAGACGTTAACCCCCATCTTCTTGATATATCCGTATTTCGATGCTTACCACCTTCATCCCCTTCACATCCCTTACTTTGATCCTCCCTTCTCACGATCTTTATCCCACCGCTACCCTTCCCAGTTCCTGACTACATAGTTCAACGCGTCACAATCCCGAACACCGATATCCTCTCTGAGCTGTGCACTTGGGAAACGAGGGTTGTGCTCCACCAAACGACTACGAAGAACAATTGACAATAATAATCTAAAACAATCCACACCACTCCCATAGAAACTTCCAGATCAGAAAGGACAGGACAACCTTCCCTTCATTCACTCCGCTGACTTACAACTTCATGTGGAAGACCCACAATTCCCCCTGAACAACGGACCCACTTGCCAAAAAGGGGATTCTCAAGTCAACAAACTGGGCTGTTGGAGCTTCACGGCTGTGTTTACACACAACACTTTCTAATTCTAGCGGAGCAGTGATTGCCACATTGATGGCCTTCAAGTGAGAGGTAGAGATTACTGTGTTTCTTTTTCACCGAGGTTATATCTCTTACACAATCGCACAGTCTGATGCCTAGCAAAAGCGGGGCGTTGCGAGGGAGATGCACGGGCTATATCATAAAGCGGGCAAAGCGATGAGAACAATCACGATCCAACTGCAAGGGACGAAGTATTGAAGTGCTCATGCAAATATATATACGAGAAGCAACAGAAAGCTATGTGTGGGTCCAAACTATGTACAGACAAAGAAGTTCCATTCCACCGCCGGGTCACGTGCTATGCCCCGAGTTCAGGAGGAAGTTTCAATTCATTCCCTTACAGGCACTGGGAGAACCAGTCGTTCTGCTTCTGGCAGCTCCACGGCGACGCGCACTGGGTGGGGCCGGTGTAGCCGATGCCGCCACACTGGGCCCAGTGCTGGGCCAGGGCGCCGCCAGTCGGGGTGCTGCTGGCGGTGGTCTTGGTGGAGGTCGCGGGGGGCTTGGTGGAGGTGGTCGCCTTGGTGGTGGTGCTGGACGGGTTGCCCGGGTTGGTGCCGCCGCCGGGGAGGCCAGAGACGGTGGAGCCGATGGGGCCGAAGCGGATGTTGGAGTAGATGACGTTGGAGTTGGGTACCGACGACTCGATCTCAGAGGGAACACCGGAGCTGGTGGAGCAGGCACCACGTTCGGCACCGGGCTTGCCCGCGCCGTCGAGGGGCCAGGTGGAGTCGAGCCAGAGCATGTTCACGGCATGGTCGTCCCAGATGGACATGACGAGCACCATGTCGCCGGCCATGGCCTTGCCCATCTGAGCGAGACCGCCCTTGGCGTTGAAGTCGCCCTCGTCGCCGAAGACCTCCTTCTGCTTGTCGCACCAGTCCTGGGTGACGGAGTTGCCCTCGGCGCCCGAGATGGTCGACTGGGAGTTGGGGATGATGGTGCCGTTCTGGGAGTAGAAGCGCTTGATCTCGGACAGGTTGCCCGAGGAGTCGGTCAGGAACTGGGTGACGACCGTGATCTTCTTGGTGGTGTCGATGGTCATGCCCTTGCCGTAGAAGGTCTTGTCGCCCATGCGGTACGAGTTGAAGTCGCATCCGTCGGGGTCGCACACACCGGCATAGCGGTCGGAGCTGTAGGTACCGCCGCACCCGTCGCCCTCGCAGCGACTCTGGCCGATTGTGGTGCACGGGTGAGGGGTATAGGCAGTTGCCATGTTGTTGGCCTCCCAGACGTCCATCTCCGAGCAGCAGCTGCCGTACTTGCCGGAGCCGGCGTTGGCATCATTGGTTGACGGGTCCCAGCCCTCGACGTTGGCCTCGCCGTTGATGAACTTCAGGTCACGCGGGCACTGCGCATCGCAGTAACCGGTACCGTACTTGGCACCGGCCTTGTTGCCCGTGTACTTGGACATACCGCCATCAGCGTCCATGGAGACGAAGTACAGCGCACCGTTGAGACCGCAGCCCAAGTTGGAGACATCAACATCGAAGGTGAACTCGTTGTTGAGGAGCTTGAAGGCTGTGAGCATGTTAGTGCCATGTCGTCTCACAAATGGAGAGAGAATCTCCAGTTTCTCGAGATTCTTGGGTACTATAGGGTAGTCACTCACTCTGGTACTTGGTGTCGCTGGCCATAAGGTAGGTACGCGAGCCAATGTTGGTGGAGTACTGGCCCTTGGTGACGAACTTGAGGTTCAGGGCATTGCCGCTGGTGGTGATACCATATGTGCTGGAGTATTCGGCACCGTCAATGCAGCACTTGGACGCGCACGACGGGCCATCGCTGCAGTAGCTGGTGTCCCACTCGTTGCCATCATAGCAGTTGGTCGCGGCACCGGTTTGGTGAGTCCAGCGCCAGTTGGCGTCGATGGTGATGGAGCCCGCGACGTTGCTGCAGCTGCCCGCCGAGGTGCACTTTTGCCACTGCAGGGCAGGGTGCGTCTCGGTCGTCAGCGTGCAGACGGCCTGGGCAGAGGCGGTGGCCACGAGGGCCGAGAGGGCGGCGAACTTAGCAATCATGGTGCAGGAGACTCAGCAGAGCTGTGTTTGCGTGATTGAGGATGAAGGTTGCGAGATGGGTCAGAGCGGGTAGTTGGGAAGCTTGGGACGACGGGTTATATAGGCAGCACGACGCTCGTCCTGGATGTTGTTTCACTCTTTCCTGTTCCATCCATCTCCCCAGCATCAACATCCGCAGCCCACTCTGCCCTCTCCTGGGCCCGGACAGTCATCTTCCATTGTTCTCCCGGTCAAGGCTGGGAGCCGCCGTCCCTAGCCTGCCCACTTAGCCCGCCCCGTCCGGGTTGCCGGGAACGCTACGCCCACGCACGGTCCTTGACCTTGGTGTTGCCGCCAGCCAGCGAGACCCTCGCGCGTGGTGAGGGCGGCCCGCGGGCCGTCAATGCTCAGCGCGCTGTTGCCCTCGCCAACGGCGGACCAGGTTGAGGTGGGTGAACATTGCTGGCATCCAGGTCGACGGAAACAGACACGGCAGAAAGCCTGCGAAATGTGGAGGAACCCTTTCCCCGGATGGAAACGCCTACGGCGAGAAGCCCAAACTGTCGATGGCGGCCGGGGCGACCGGGGCGGCGATGTTACATCAACGTTCCCACCCCAGATGTAAGCCCTGACACACAGCCTGGGAACATCGTGGAGGACGTGGGCTTGCGTGGAGCCGGCCGATGGAAGCGATTAAGGTTACCGGAGGACCAACAGGGGCCGTTGTCCCTCATTGGACGGCTTTTTGCTCGAGGCGTTACCAGGACGTCAGGGGTGTGCTCACGGAGGCTGTCCGCCGAGTGCGACTTGGGCGTCCAGCTGAGTGCCCGAGTTCGCATTTCGGCCGCCATCAAACTTCACGATGTGGCCTAGCAGGCGATTGGCCCAGAGCGGACGATATCGCCGTCGACAATTTAGACAGTGGCGCGAACGCTACCCGAAATGCCGCGTCCGCGATAGTCAAGCCGAGCCTTTTTCCTTCCCCCAACACCCAGCCGACGACGCCATCCGGGAAAGGGCAATCACTTCATCACCAGCATCGCGTAAACTCTCCGGCTCTCGCTTCTCCCCGCATTCGTCAGACGCCTGGTCCACTCTGGCACTCCACTTCCCCCAGACTCTGCGGGAGATCGATCTTGACAAGCAGTGTTGTTCATTTTTTTTCTCCGTCGTCGTGCTCGCGCTGATCTTCCCACCAGAAGCGCAAGAAATCGGGCGATCAGGGTCTTGTCGCTGTGGAGCGGGTCTAGAACTTGGCTGCGGCTCAAAACCCGACAAGAAAAAAAGGAAAGCTTCTTCAGCACAAGAACCCGGAACTCGGTGCGCTGTGCTAAATTGGAGAGAGTGCACCCGTCTTAGCCACCATGTTGATTCGCCCTGGCCCCGGGGGGGATCGCCTTGGTATGTTGATCAGCAGGTGTCGAAACCCGGAAAGTTGAAGGGTTCTGGCCGAGTCTGTGGGAAGGGAAACGGGGGAGAGTTCCATGCGGAGGGTCGAGGTAACCGCAACATCAAACTCCGTGATACTCAATCGGGCCTAGCGCGGGCACCTTGACCAGATTGGGCGGGGCTATTTTTTCACCTCCCTGCATCCTTGGCAACGTCACGAACGACAAGAACGACAAGAGCAACCTTGCGGACATTTCTAGCTCGGCGCAAAAGCTTCTCTGGCGGCTTCCCCATGTTTCCATCGCATGCGGCAGTCAGGGGAAGGAGCAATGGGAGGCCGTGCGGGGAAGGCTAGCCCATGCCGCCTTCCCCAAATCGAGCAGGGCGCCCGAACTTGCGCATGTTCTTAACGGCTTTCGTTGAGAGCTCCCACAAAACTCACAACTTCGAGGTCCTGCGCCGCGTCCGCTTTTCCCTGTGTTGGGCGTCTCGTCCACTCGTCCCCGGCCAGCTTTACCCCGAGGCCCGAACACAACGCCTTTTATTTCTCGTCCTAACTGCGGTCTCATCATGATACCAAGGGATTGATAATAGGTTGAAAGAGCCGCTTTCATTCCCTCTTCTTAATCCTATCTTTTCTTTCCTTTCTGCCCCCTCGCGTTACCGAGTCGACACTCGTGGGCAGCACGAGAACCCTCATTTGGCCCGGAGGAAGCAAAACTGACTCTCCGTGAGTCCGCCTGACGAAGGGCGCTTGCATTTGCCAAGCCTCTCCACTCCCTTGCCTGACTATTTCGTGCCGTTGATTCCGCTCACAACGCAAGCGCAGAGCGAGGGAATCAACTCGCGCTGTAACTCGGCTCCCATTCCCAGAATAATGCCGTCGCCGTCATCCTTCAGAGCCCAATGTTTTCATCAGGATAATGCGGACTCAGCCTGCGGGCGGGCTATCGTGTTGTCACCTCGTCGAACGAAGTAAAACGGGCCCTTGTTTATTGTCATATTCCCTTTATAGTGCTGGATAGTGGCAGGCCCAATCAAGTATGATTGTGGGCGAGGACCAACCTGTCGTCAAAACCGTACCAGGCCCTCCACAGGCGCCCGGAAGGGACTACCGTCTTCAAAGTAATGATTGGGAAGAACCCCGATGGCATGATCCCGGGATGCCAACGCATCCCTAGATGTCTTCCTTGTCTTACAATGATTGATTCCAATGATTCCTACCCCCAACCCCTTTCAATCAGGTTTGAGAGGGACTTTCCACCACCCTCCCCCATACAAGCCCCCGAGGCAAAATAACCACCGTGCCCCGTTAAGCTCTCCCACTAGCTTGAAAGAGCAACGAACATGCTCGAATCGGAAAATAAGCGGACTGGAGCTCTCAATTGGGTGGGAGCAGAGTTACTATTTTCGGACTTCCCTCAACGAAAGGTCCATGAATGAAGCCGAAACGGGCCTCCGTGCAGCTCATTTAGGAAACGGTCGAAAACCCGAGCTCATTCCGACCAACACCGTCACCGCTCCAAATGTTTCTATCACGTCCTTTTCGAAAGAGGCAATCCCCCCACGTACATATTGTGATTTGAGACAAGTAATATCCAAATCCCGAACCCCTATATTACTGCTCCCTCAACGTCTCCTTGAGCGGAACTTGATCCCACCGTCAATTTGGACGGCTCACACCTCCGGCGTCGCATCCCGGGCTGGAAGCCTTCGAGAAAGATTCTGCTGTGTCATTCCGGATCTAGGCTACCGAGTGTCGATCTGGATGAAGACTCGGGTTCCGGGCGGAGATCCCGCTATGTAGCAGTAGGGTGCTGTTGTGTAACTTACTATGTATGTGTGCGTAGTGGGCGGGTTACATGAGGGATGTGCACCTGTTGCACTGGTTTGGGGGTAGGCGGCTTGAAATGAGACGCGGGATGTTGGCACTTGGGGGTTGGCGGTTCGTTCATCTCGGTGCCTGGATAATGTACGCTTTCATATTAACGTTAGTGTTATAGGTCACTCAACGGGTGAAGACATTCACACAAATGCATGGCGCTTCGATTGTGCAAGATCACGAATTTTATTGCGAGACTGGTCTTCCTGAGCGAAAGCAATGGATGAGAAAACAATGTACCCTCCCAGCCGAACGATGCCCTTTGCCGTAGCCGTTCCCGAATGCCGATAAGGTCGGCTTCATCAGGGTCCAGGCCCTGGGTACTTATGAGAGATGAGAGGAAAGAAAAAACGAAACAAACGAAAAACACAAGACTGTTGGACCCCATGGTAATAACTGTGACGCGTCGGCAGCAGAACCGGACGCGACTCACGCGAGACTTGAGCGCTCCCTGGAGGTAACGAGGAACCATCCGCAGTGTCGAAAAGTCATTGACGACAGCGAGCCTCTACTACGATACCTAAATGAAAGGAAGAAAAATCAAGACTACCGGGGAGAAGAAAGGGGAAATCACAATGAAAACATGAAGAAAAAGGGGGGAAGGGGCAACGGGGTAAAAACGGAAAAGAAAACAAAAGCACACCTATCAAGCGGGTCTGTGAACCGCCCGCCGCCCTTTCATCCCAAGCGGTGAACTTCTTTCTCTCATGCGAGAAGAAGAGAAAAACGGAACAAGAACGACGAGAGACCACCCATCAACCCATCTGTCCTTCACTGGCCCTGACCGGCACCGGGAAGGTAGTGGTTGTGGTACTGCGGGAGCTGGTACCCGCCCTGCTGCTGTTGCTGGGGTTGCTGCTGTTGCTGCAGCTGTTGTCCCTGCTGCACCTGCTGCTGTTGGGCCGCCGCAGAAAAAAAGACGGGGCCAATGCCCGGGTGCATGGCCGAGGGGCCGGACAGTGCGGGGGGCACGGCCAACGCGGAAGGCACAGGCGCCACGGAGGGTTCGGACCGTGCGGGGGCCGTAAACGCCACGGAGGGCACAGGCGGCGCCACGAAGGGCGCGGGGAACACAGACGGTGCGCCGTGCACGGTGCCGGCGGACCGGGCAAGCTGCTGCTGCTGCTGCTGCTGCCAGAAGACGTCCTCCGGAACGATGCCCCGGACAATGGAGCTTGCCGTCGACAGCCTCTTCTTGGGCTGGTGCTGGTACTGGTACTGGGCGGCTGGGTTGCCATAGCCGTTGCCGATGCCATTGCCGATGACATTGCCGATCCCATTGTCAATGCCATTGCCGTTCCCATTGTTGTGATTGTCATTGCTGCTAGTGCTGTTCTTCCTCTTTCTCTGCAGCTCGTGCTGCTGAGCTATGTGCCTCTGGGACTGCTGGAGGGCAACCCACTCGGCATAAGTGAAGCGGGCATTGTTCATGTTGTTCATGTTAGGGGGGAACGGGGCTTGCTGGGTGCCGTGAGCAGCAGGGTTCTGGCCGGCACGGGCGAGGACCTCATTAACTTCGTGCTGGTGAAAAGGGTAGGGGAACGGAGCAGGACCCGGGCAGACGGGGCCAGGAACTGGGGGCTGCCGCTGCTGCTGGATGGGCTGCTGCTGAATGGGCAGCTGCTGAATGGGCTGCTGCTGTTGCAAAGGCTGCAGCCGCAATTGTGGTTGTCGCTGCTGTAAGCGCTGCTGGCAAAGCTCCTGCATCTGTTGGTGAACCTCCTGCAACTGCCGGGGAATCTGCTGGTGAACCGGGGATTGGAGGTGGTTCTCAAGCCTGGTGTTCTGCGCCTCGAGCTGCAACTCCAAGTTGTTGATCTGGCCCCTGAGGTAGGCGATCTCCTGTTGCTGGTCGCACTGTTGTGTGCGGAGCTTGTTCTGCTGCTCCACGAGGCCTGTGGTGCTGTCTGCCACGGTGGCGGTGTCAGGGCTGTTAGCCGTGCTAGCATTTGTATTGTTCTGGTCAGAAGAAGGAGACTCTGCCCTGCCGCTAGCTTCTCCGTCGTCCCGACCCGGATCCGGACCTTGTTCCACCACACCAGGATTCTCATCTTCCTCGGCCTTGATCTCTGGTGTTTCCGGATCTTCCATGGTACCTTGCAGCTTGAGGGCCTGGCCGATGATGAGGTTGTGGTAGGTTTGGAATCCCTCCTGGGCGTCATCCATCTTGTCGTCCAGAAGTCTGGCGTCACGGTTCACCGCCTCCTTCCACGCAGCACAAGCATCAGAGTCCCCCTCGACTTGCCAAAGGCCAACTTGCAGAACCTGTTCGAGGTCCTCGTGGGCTTGCCTGAGGCTGCCCCAAGCGGCGTCGCACTTCTGGTTGTGCTCATCCATAGCCTCTAGGAATTTAGCAACCGCAGGCCGGATTGCAGCAACCTCCTCGGGGTTTCCGGCCATATCCATAGTCGGGTATCTGTTGGCCATTGTTGTGGATTGTTGTTTGTGTTATCGGCAGCGTGAATTTGGTGGCTTTGTTATTCATCTGTTAGTTTTCTTTTTCTTAGTAGTTGTCACCGTTTTATAGCCGGTTATCTTACCTCACTATCGATTCTCCGATTTCCTGACCGGTTATTGTTTTGTCTGATCGGAGTTTTTGTTTCTCGGTCGGTTCTCTTCTTTCTCGGTTCTCTTTTTTCTCGGTTTGTTTCTTGATTTCCAAGTCAGTTCTTTTTCTTCCTCGATCGGAAAAACCCTAGAGAGAAACCGATAGACGAACTCACAGAGAACCTCACAGAGAAACTCACGGAGAAACTCCCGGCAAACGCCTGAAGAATAACAAAAAAGAAAATGTCAATAAATCATTTACAGTTAATGTAAACAAATGGTCAAGATATCATGGGTTTACTTACCTTAACAAGCCGGATAACGAGCTTATAACGTTATAACTAATCGCCGGTGAACCGGAACCCCGCGAGGATGTGCGGTTTGGGTTGCGGGGATCGAGGTTGTGGGAGGAAAAAATTGGGAAGTCGGTTCCACGTTTGGAATATTCCGGGTTTTGTAGTGGAAGTTCCGTGACTGCTCTGTTGTTGGCGAGAACCTGAGAATAACGGCAATGATTTTAATCCGCAACACGCTCCCACGCGCTCCTAGTGTTGCCTTGTGACGCGGTATTGTTGAATCAGGCCAACCATGCACTTCAACCCACTTCTGTTGTTGATTTGACATCCCGTATGCTTGATTTCAGTGAACCAGGAGCTTCAGCACATTCCCATCGTGGATCTAATTCATGGTGTTGTTGATAGAATACTAGATCGTCAACTAACAACACCATATTGTCGATTTACAACACCGTATTCTTGATATGGCTAACTAGATAGTGATCCCAACATGCTCTTTAATTTTGATTCTCAGTGTTGTGAATTCGCAACGACGTATCGTCAACTAGCAACACCACATTGGCAACCTGCAACCGTATTCTCGAATTCGGACAACCAGGCAGGCAGACAGGCACACCAACATCCCCAGCCAAGTTGACACGCCGTATTGTGAATTTGAAACACCGTATTGTTGATTTCGGATGGGAGTAATCTGAGAGGGCTTTTCACCGGCTTCCATCTTTCAGCTCGCACTCAGGGTATCAAAGGAGCCACCCCGCACCAAACTAATCCTGGCCAAACGCCAGACAACCAGAAATGTGACAAGGCCTGAGAGACTTCTCGGGATTCTCTACCCTAAGGCTACTTCATGATGCCCTTCATCACAGCAGAACAACCCAGTGATAGATTTTAATGTTTATCAAGTCCAGTGGCGCGTATGCTAGATTCCTCCACAAGCAAAATCCATAATCAGATCCAAAACTCGACCCTTTGCTGAAGGGAGCTTGACACGCCGAGCTCCCTGGAATCTTCAATACCTTCACTGACGACCTACTGAATACCCGACCTGAATCCCTCGCCCCATTTTCCTTCCCAGTCGGCACTGTTATCTCTCCAGCGGTCCCAGCGCTTCCAGTAACACATTGATATCGTGCCTCAACACCGCCGCGAGAGTTATCGAGACCCTGTCGTGAGCATCATCGTAGACTTGAAGGTGGTCGTAGATGCCATTCACCGCAGAATGAACGTCGGATGCCGCCTCCTGCAGGATGTTGGAAGCGGCGGCCTGCAGGGCCGGGTCTTGGGGGAGAGGGCTCTCGTTGATTTTGTCAATGAAATGTATCGTTAGTTCGACCTGTTCCTCGCGTATGTGCTGCCGTCCGGGGAACGTGAGAGTGAATAGTCGGTTTGCGCTGAGGAGTATAGCTCTAAAGCCGTGGAGCGCTTGGGGGAGGGTGAATTGGGGTGTGATGGGGGCCATTTTGGTGATTGCTGGTGGGAGAGAGAAATTTATTAGCCGTGGCTATCCTTCAAGAGGGCCCAGGTGTGGGAGTTTGGAACAGCTGAGAATACTGACCTTGGGATTTGGGGTTCTTCAATGTTTTCGTCTGCGGTGTCTACTTCGCAAGGGGAAAAGGGCCGTCGCTTGAGTTCTAGAGGCTGAGCAAATGTTGACTGGGAGAGGGTGCGAGCTGGGGATTGTGGGATTTTCTGGAAAGATACCCATTCCGGACCATTCAATCAAATGTTTGCCCATGGTGTCCAGACAAAGGTAAAATCTGGTTACTTTGCCAATTCTCTCTTTTTCGATCGATGGTTTGATTTTTCCTTGGCCTAGTTTATGCCCAGGTATGGTGGGTTTGTCGATGTTTGGACAGCAAAAACACCTTTTCTTTGGGTTATGACTCTAATATACTCTGATTGTGACTCAAATGCAGTGCGTTTGATTTGAGAATTGCCTTTGAAAGGACGAAGGGAAAACATGCAGCAACCAAAGGCTTTTATCATTCGTACGGCCCTGTGTCATTTGAATATCCCTTTGCTTAAGGTAGGTTAGGGTTAGGGTTTATATATGATGAACACAAATGGGGTTTGTTCGGACAAACCAAACAACATCTCACCAGTTTTCTTTTTCCGGGTTTTCTTTTTTGCTGCAGATTTGTGGATTCAACTCTCCACGGCCGATAATTTCGATGGCAATGAATTGTGCCAGAAGGAGGGCATTGGTGAGCAATGTGCGCGTGACCTCCTTTGCCTAGCCCCTGCCGAAATGGGGAGAACAATTCTACAACAGGAACAAACTATTTTGACACGACTGGTATCAACTCGTTGTCACGGGAGGCTCCACAGACAATTGGACATGTAGTCCTCATTAACAAAAAATTACCCCGCGCCATGTTTCCAGACAAACCATTGACGTTCCTGACAATCAACATCAAAGTCTTTCAGATCGCAAAGAGGCCTTCAAGGGGAGACAACTCCTAACCAGGTTAAAAAGGAGCTGTGTTCCCCCAACCCTTCTCGACTAGACAACAAGTTCAACAACTACAACTCCACACGCGGGGTTGGGTGATGTAAAAGCATCCCAACACAGCCAGAATCCCTCCATCACTCCTCACAACGTAAGTCGCAGAGATGCTTCTTACCAAGGACCCCTTGTTAACTCCTGGGTAGCTATATATACCAACAATTTTACCCCTTTTCTCCTTCCGGGCATCTCCGTCGCATCTGTCCTGGCGCAAACACGGCGGCCTTGATCACCCTCCACGTCAAGCCACTTTAGGGAATCTACAGGGCTGTATTCCCACTGGTCGGTAGAAGAACCGAAGATCACACGACTGGCCATGCCCGTTCCAACAACTTATTCGCCAATCCTCGTCGCTCCCGCTGAAACTAGTCCTCAACTCCAAGGATATCGTCGGGCTGGCCCTGTGCTCTTAGGGCGGGCATTGCCATCAAGGACTGCACCCCCCTTGGCATGGGGCCTTGGGCTGCTGTCAATGGGCCATAACAACAACCAGACCCTCGACAAACCTCTGTTTTGTATGCAGGTTCCAGGTCCTCTCTACCATCACCGGTTCTGCCGTTGTCGTTTCTTCCCAACGACTAACTCTACACCCCCACACGTGAACCAGTAAAGTCTGCACCGGCCGTATAACACACCACGCCCGCTGCTCCAGCAGTCATCACCCACCTCCGTTCATCCCATGAGGCAAGGACTACCGTCTCGCCTAGTAACACCCGAAATCCATCACCCCTCCGCCACCCACATCCTACCCTGGCTTCTCAAGTATCATGGCGCTGAGCGAGAAGCATCCGCTGGGATGCGGCGGGTTGCTCTGGGAGGATTTTAAGGAAGAGCCGCGTCTCGTGAACAGTTCCCTCCGAGAACTGGGGCCCGCTTTGACAGGGTTCCGTTTCTTTGGACCGGCCGTGTTAAGGGCGGGGATTGCCTCGTTGACCCGACCTTAGAAAGCTGCCCGCCCAATATGGCTGGCAAGCGGATTGCTGACCTGCAACCAGGTGCTGACGACATCTCACACAAATATGGGGATCTGTTGGCTTTGGCCAAGTCGGCAATATTCTGGGGCTGGTAGGCGAGGACGCGCAGTAGTGGCCTGCGGCCCGTTGCCTCGGGGATGAAGTTACTCCGGCTGAGGCTTCTCCTTGGTTAAGAGGGAGGAAGGGGTCATGAATTCTTACGGGCCGTGGCACGAGTTTCGGTTGTTGTGGTCACATAACCACTGACTAGGGCGCTCCCGATTATGGGAGGCATGTAGGCCGGAAGTTGGGTGTGTTGAGCTGAGGATTCCGAGTTGATTTGGGTTGATCTGAGGCAAGTTCTGGTCTGGTCAATGGCGCCTTCCTTTTCAACCACCACAGGATACGCACGACATAACCCCACAATTTAGCCCTAATCAAAGCTATGCCGCACAGAAACTTCCGTCTTTACTACCTAAGGTATCTTAATTTCTTCGTTTCTTGTTTGATCACGGGGGGTTCAGCCCGTTTTAGGCGAGCATTTTTACCTTCTTGGGAGCCGATGGCCCGAACCTCCGCTGTCACTCGCCATTAGACACTTGAACTCGGCTGCAATCAAGCGGCTTACTCGTCAACGGTGCGCAGGTTACCGCACGAGACGTGATCAGGAGAAGTCTCCTCATGATTGCGTTGGAGGGCCTGACGACAATCCACGAGCCTGAGGGTCCGTACTGCGACTGGGAACCGTTGGAGTCCTTTGAGGTCGCAGTGAAGAACATTTGCCGCGCGCAGTCGGGTAATAATCGGGTGGCTCCGGGGTCTGCCCCCTCGCCCTCATATAAATCTCTTCTATAACACTCGAAAGTACTCGTGAATACACCGCGAGATTTACCATCGCGCCACCCTGCGCGGCCTTTCGTGCCCTTACTGTCGGCAAACGATCTTGACTTTTGCGATCTCCCAGTCTACTCACCACAGCTCTCCCAGATTGAAGAGCAGCTCATGGCCCGCGTTCGTGTGCACGTAGAGGCCTTCCTTTACCACGGCCAGCGGTACAAATACCGAGGCCACGTCGTCGGTTTCCTCCTCGATGACTTCCCGGTCAAGGAGGCTGAACCAGTCGAGATTCAACAATCTGATCGACGACGCTGACGGCGAGTCCCACTTGGTTGACGGCACGGCCATGCCCAATGTCGTCACCGAGGAGGCTAATCTTGACCAGTTCCGACCACAAACCAACGCGTCTCTTCTGCGCTTCTTCTGTGTGGATAAGCCACCCAAAATTGCCAAAGGCGGCCGCCCAAAATCTGACCGTCAACCTGTAGCTCCTCTACGAGCACTGGCTGCCCGTTCTCCGACCCACCATCTATTATGTCGGCCCCGCCACTTCTCATTGATATATTGAGGCCGGCTATTCAGGATAGGGCTTTATTCAGGACCTGTACCTACTCAGAGGGCTACAAAGGATTTTGCAGGCATATATAACTTTCTTGTAAATCTTCCTTCTGTAGTTAGCGAAAGTACTATGCGGCGACTGTGTTCTGTGACGGCCCGGCTCGTCAGCGCGTCCTAAGATGTCTCCTGAGTTGCGTCGTCACCTGACGCCCGCCTTCTGCAGGCGCCCGGGGCAACCGCGCGAGTACACGGTTACAGCAACGCGTGGAGGATATGGGGCGCGGGGCAGGCGCGTTACAGAGTTTTCACACAAAGCCCGCCTCACTTTGCCCTGTTCAGGCAGGCTTTTCAGGTGGGGCCTTATATAAAGGCCGTGCCCACTTGGGGGGCCTATAAAAGGATTTCGCAGGCTGGCGCGACCTTCATGCAAATCTTACTTCCTTAGCTTACGAAAGTACTTCATAACTGTCGTTAGATTTCCACAGGCGCTGCCCTGCTTTGAGTCTCCGTTCCGTTACATGTTCCTTCAAACACTTCCGGGCGATTGAAACGCAAATGGGCGCTCAGCGTGTTTCTGTTGACTTGGACCGACAAGGCAGGACTAGGCTCAGTGGCGTGAGTCACACCCGAGCGTCGGGAGTTCCTGGATTCTGCAATGGCCTCCGAGAGCTAGGAGTACATGCTGGCTCCGTGTATTTCTCTGACAGATGCCTCGTAGAGTCGGGTACTCGTTGGGCTGGAGGCTAGGAGGTGGCGGATGAGGACAACGGTACTCCGTACGGGAGCCTTTTGGGGGACATTTTTATGGGTGAGATTGTGGACTCACCGGCACTCTGGAAACAGTTTAAGGGAGAGGAGGAGTTGGTGTTTAGGGGCCGGAAGGAGAGAGGTGCGAGGAAGGTTGACAAAGTCACGCTGTTGTACCTATGTAAGGTTGGAGAGTGAGAAGTTTGGCGTAGTTGGGGTTCTGGTCTCGGTCTTGGATCCCACGTGTTGTCTAAGATTGAATAAGTACACCACGAAGAAGGTGGAAATGCGTTCAAGATGTGTGTTTCTCTTTCGACGTTTGGCCACTTTTCATCATTAGGATAATTATAACTAGGTAGACATCAAGGTCAAACAGCTTTCCATAAAATCGTCCTTTGCAAACTTCCAAACAAGCCCACCCACTCATCAAGGAAGCAACACCGACGCGTCCTCCCGCCGCAAATAGCCGTTCGTGATCAAAGTTCCTACGCTCTGATACAGCTTGTACTGCACGCCAGCTCCGGCTTGTCCAAACCACGGCGCAATCGGCCCCGCCAGCACCTCCAACGGCTTGATGACCGTGTACACATGGTAGTTGTATGGGTACCTGTGCAATGTCAGTCAGTCATGCCTCACAAAAACCAAAATAACTGCCAAATAGGAGGCAAAAAAAAAAAAA